AATTAGGCTGTTTCCAAATTTTAGCTATTACAAACTGTGCCACTATAAACATGGGTGTGCATATATCACTGTGGTTTGATTCTTTTATTTCTTTTGGAAAGATACCGAGCAGAAGGATGGCTGGGTCAAATGGGACCTCTAATCCTAATTTTTTGGGGTATCTAGATATTGATTTCCACAGTGGTTGCACCAGTCTGCACTCCCATCAACAAAGAAGGGTTTGTTCCCTCCCACCAGGGTTTGTTATTGGTTGATTGTGTGATAGCAGCCATTCTTTCTGGGGTGAGGTGGAATCTCAGTGTTGTTTTCATCTACATCTCTTGAATGACCAGTGATACTGAACATTTTTTCATACATTTATTTGCTGCTTTTACTTGTCTGAGAAATATCTGTTCATTTCATCTGCCCTTTCTTTTTTCGGGTCTTTATATTTGAGGGTTCTCATTTTTTGAGTTCTTTATATATTCTAGGTAGAGGACCTTTGTCTGAGGAACTGCTGGTGAAGATTTTTTCCCACATTGTAGGTTATCTGTTAGCTCTGTTGGTGGTTTCTCTTGCAGAAGCTTTTAATAAGATGAGATCCCAGTTGTTGATTCTTTGTGCTAGTTCCTGTGCTATGAGAATTTATTCCTAAAGTTTTTTCCTATTTCAGTAAGACTTAGTAAATTCTGATGTGCCCAAGACTCCAAGTAAAGCATTTTAGCAACAATCCTTTCTCTGCATCCATAACCAATCAAATACCCTCCCAAATTCCCCGAAAAGAACTCCTGAACTGAGAAGCTGCATGGTTAGGGGCGGCAGCAGATCTCTCTCTGTACATCTTAGCCTCCCCTTTTCCTGATGTTTTCCATCTCCAGAGAGTTTGGGGCAACAATAAGGACTTCAAAGGCCTAAGGGGCCAGGTCAGCTTTTGCACAGCACACTGCATTGCAGGTTAGACAAAGGGAGTTCTGGGATATGGCAGACACACACACACACACACACACACACACACACACACACACACACACTAACATTAAATGTTGAGTTAAGAACACAGGTAAGTCAGACAGACTGCTCCTGTGGAGAAGATGTCTGAGGAGAGCCTCATTGTCCAGCCCTCAAAGAGGTGTGTCTCAGTTTGAATTTCTTGAGCACATATCTGAGATCAGGATTCCTGTGTGAGGAGAAAGTCATGCTGCCAGCTGAGTTGGGAGGTGAGCTAAGAACAGGAAGACAGTTACCTCTGGAGGTGACTAGAGAGCGATACTTCGGGAAAATGGGGAAACAATAGGACACTTGGCCAGAGATATCCTCCTTATTGTAGAGGGAGCTGGGGTGTTGGTACCCAATTTCTGCAAGGGCTTATTTGCAGCAAATTTTAGGGAATAGTAGTGCCCTGGGTGGTCCTGCTGAGTGACAGGTGTTGGGTATGTGGTCGCCATGCCCTGGGAAGGCTTGGACAGGAAAACTGATGAGAGCGTCTTTGTGCAGGGGCTGCATCAGAGAGGATCACTGCTTCCAGAGTGACAATGCCCCATGAAAGTGGCTATTGCACAGAACTGCCCTGGGGGAAGGATCCTTAAATCATGTCTAACAAGACCTATGAAACATGAAAAGACAACCTTGTAAAGTGCCATTGCTACATCAAAATGTTATTAATTATCCCATAATGTTGGTGACAGTGAGGTGTCTGATCCAATTCACATTGTAACCAGAGACATCACCCATAAGCATCCAAGCTTCCAAACTGAACAGGTAAAAATTTCTCTTGATTCATCCCTCAGTTCCACATGACCACTCTAGCCCACCTCTCCCCAAGTCTGCTTCTAAATATTTGTCAAGCTAGACCAGGTTTCTTTATCTTTACTAGCCCTTCCCTGGTCTAGATGACCACTGTCTTTCCTTTGGATTATTCCAGGTCCTCCTAGGTGATCTCTTTGACTTTGGTTTTGTCCCTATTCAGACCCTCTTCTTCTTACATCTGCAAAAGTGGACGCTTCCACTGATGCTCAGACTTCACACTCCTGCCCAACTTGAGTGAGAGCTAATTGCAAATACATGTCCCTTGTGTAATAAATACGTGGTTTGCACACTTACACAAACACACAGATTATACACATACACACTAAATTTATCAAAATGCAAAGAACATACTTTGTCAGATATTAAAATGTGGAGTTACAATATATTTCTGCTTTTTTTTTTTTTGGTACTGGGGATTGAACTCAGGCCCTATGTGCTTGCAGGGCAAGTGGCGAAACCATTGAGCTAAATCGCTGGCCCCTATTTCTGCTTCCTTAATACTGATGCTTACAGACCCACAAGATAGATTTCCTGTGAGGTTTGTTTCCTATTTCCAGTAGAATTATGAGGCCATTACATTGGCTTATAAAGTATTATTTTTGTATTTCCAGCTCTGAATTAGACCAATAAGTGTGTATGCTCCTTAAATGAAAAATAATTAAAGAGATAATTGAACTGTTTTAAAATCTTAACCTGAATTTGAACTCTAATAGTTTTTAGTTCAAGAGGAAGGCTGACTCAAGAAGAGATGAGACTTGCCCTGTACTCATCTCTGAATTTCTATTCCAACCAATTACTTTCTTTCTTGCTGGTAATCTATTTCCTTTTAGTAACAGATTAGTAATCAAAAGTTGAGGGCTTTCAATTTGCAGTTTCATTTGAAAGTTAGGAGAATAGAGTTTGTTCACACACATTTTCTCTCTCTGAAATCCCCACAATATTCTTGTTGCTAAGAGCTCTAAGTGAATTTAGATTTAAGGAGATACAGCCAGGCAAAGAGAAAGAAAGAAAAGGAAGAAAAGAGTGTAAAAGTGAATGCAGCAGCCTGAATTTTTCTCTATTTTTTTCTGACACCCTAAGAAAGCTGAAAAACTATTGATTGAGGACACTGAATTTGATAGAGAATGCCTAGGAGAGACTTGCTGTGTATTCCTGTGTGTGTATAATGGTGCAAACATAGTTGTACTTGTGTGAACATTCAATCTTAGAGTGGTTTAAGTGCAGGAACAATGAGAGCAGAGGCAGCTTCAAGAAGAGGCACAGAGCAGAAGAGAAATCAAGTCTAATCTAGTTGGTGAAGGAAGGAGCTGTCTAGAAAACTTCCCCAACACCACACCTATGCACCGTCACCCAATATACCACCAAAGTCTTGTTCAACCAGTTTGGAATTTCAGAAGGAAATGGACCCTTCCTTCCTCATTTTGGGATATCATGTGTGCATGTGTGTGTGTGCGCATGTGTGTTCGTGTGTATGTGTGGTATTAGGGGACTGACTCCATCATCTTCACACTGAGCTACATCTCCAGCCATTTTTAATTTTGACAGAGTCTTGTTAATAGGCCCATGCAGGACTCAAATTTATAATCCTCTGGCGTCAGGCTCCTGCAGTGCTGGGATTACAAATGGTGGCTGGAAGATGTCTTTAAAGAGAAGCTCTGATGTGTTGAAAGGATTCTACCTTTCCTGGCTGCAGTGGAAACCAGAGAATGAGGAAAAAGAATATTGTGCTGGTTCTGGAGAATAGGATAGGAGCATAAAGTGGGTTCTGTTTTTCAATGTTATTTCAGCAAATCTACTCTCAAATGACTCTGGATTTCTTTTTGTCCACATTCCAGAGAGCCAACATTTCTGGATGGATGCTCGGAGTTTCCAGAGGAAAGACTAGCCCTGTTTTAGAAGCAGAGTTAAGATTGTGTTTACAAAAACTAATAACAGCCATTGAACAGTATAGTAAATATTTAAAAAAATGAACCAAAACTGATACTTCTGGCCTGATGTCTCAGTGGTGTTTAGATCTTAGGCCCCAGTTTGTGACAGTGAGCATCAGGCAGACCACCCTGCCACATGCACCTCAGCGACTCCAGCAAGGAGAGACATTAATCATGTGACACACACGTTGGTGCAAGCTGACCTACGCTGAAAAGGCAAAAACAATGAACCTGGGAAAGGGATACTGGAGAGGGGCACTGGGGTTAACCTTAGGGGTCAAGGAAGACTCTCCAGAAAGCCAAGCAAGCTGAAATCTGAAAAATTGCCTGCAGCTAGTGAAGTTTGAATGGGTTGGAAGTGGAGAAAGCATTAAAGACAAGAGATATGAAAGTGTTGAACAAACAGGTGGAGAGGCTAGCTGGATGGCTGGGAGGGGCCTGGGCTGTGCTGCCACCTTATGCCTTAGTCTAACCTCAAAAGCTCCCTGACCTTCACACTGCCTCTATTCTTGCCATAGCCCTACTCTTTTGATTCCCGGAAACCAGAGATCTCTGCCTCTTTATTAGGGCTGTAGTTTCAGCCAATAGCAGCAAGGGTTTTAGGGACTGAGGCAGAAAAGAGGGAGAACCGTGGACTGTTATCAGCTGCTTTTGCTAAGATGACTGTTGTTGGTCCTCCAAAGACATCTTGAGATGACATAGAAACTTCCTTGAAGAGTCCATGGTGGGGAAGGAGGAGGCAGCACAGTGGAGTCTTTGTGTGTGGTTTGCTGATAATCTCACACCTTCATGTAATTCATGGCTAGGTGCTAGGTAAGTCCCATAGCATCTCACACCCTAACCTTGGCAAGGAAACTCCTCCAAGGAGTGAGGAATGTGGTGGGCTGCTGTTGAGCAGCACAGGTAAGGACAGAGCAGAAGATAGTTGAAAGCAGGGACCTAGAGGAATTGCAGAGAGTCTCTGTGCCACCCAGCAATGTAGTTTCTGTAACTCACTCAGGAAAGGATCAACCACTTGAGGGTTGTGTGCCATCCTTGTAAGTGGTCTTATAACAACTCTGAACTACTGATTATGGCCTAAGCAACTGCTGTGGACTGAATATTTGTGTTGCCCAAGGGAAGGCCATAGTTTTGACCCTCAAAATGTTGGTGTGAGGAGGTAGGCCTTTGAGAGGTAATAGAACAGAGAGTAATGCCCTGATGAATGAGATCAGTGACCTAATAATAGAGCCATAAGAGATGATCTCTGCCACGTGAGCACATGGAGAACACAGCCATCTTCAAGCCAAAAAGGGAACCTCTCCAGAATTTGCCGTTCTTTGTTCTCAGATTTCCAGCCCTTAGGATTACAAGAAGTTGTTATCTGTTGGTCAGTATCTGGGTTACCTTTCTCATTACTGAGACAAATTTCTCAACACCCCAAATTGAAGGAGACAAGGTTTATTATATTTTGCAGTTTGTAGAGGTTTCAGTTCATAGTCAGCTGGCTCTAAGACAGGATGGCATGGAAGGGGAGCATCACAGAGAAGAAATAGTTTATGGTGGGCGAAGGCAGCAAAGCAGTGGAATAGCTAAGAAGCAGAAAATGATGAACAGCAGCCCTCTTTCTGTCCCTTATATTCTATCAAGACTACATTCCCTTAGGGTGAGTTGCACTCACACCCAAAGTGTTCATTCCCATTATTTGCACCCAGAACTATACTGAACCAGTCAGTGGATTGATTTAGTAATCACACACCCTAAATCTGGATCATACATTCTAGATCCAGCTACCTCTGAAATGCTCCATCTATGATGTCATGAGTCTTTGGGGGAACATCTAGATACGAGGCATGAGAGTCAGTTTGTGATATTTTGTCACAGCAGCCCAAGGGAACTAAGGTAATAATTCAGTGGGGCTAGTGCCTACTCTTCACCTTTTCCTTGGCCTCTCCTGTATGCTTTTGTTGTCCGCTGGGCAACAGCTCATGCATCTGCACAGCTCTGTCCCATCTCACACCTTTGTACCTGCATCTCCCCTGCTCAGCTCTCTTTCTGGCTTGTTCCCATATCTAACAGGCTGCATTTAAATCTACCCTCCCTGGGGAGATCCCATATGGGTAAAGCTTTGGCAACCAGCACTCTGTGGCAGCTCTGGGTGGGACCAAAACCTACCTTGAACCACTACCAGGTGATGTCAGTGTTGCCCAGCAATACCCCCAGTGGTCAGTGTGTGGCTTTAAGTAGGAAAAATATTCTCTCCTCCCACCCCATATTTGGTTCTATTTTTGCCTTGATATCTGAAAGATCTATTGACTCTCAGCTAACCCTATACATACATTTCAGTCTGTGGAATCACATGGTTTCACAAATTCATAAATTATAGGATAAATAGAACACAGAAAGAAGAGGCATTTGAGCCAGGATCTGGACTCCAGGAATGAGAGTTGTGCTTCTAGTCCTTCCAGATTTGTGAGCCCTAATTACGTTTGAAAGTCTAGAGAAACTGCCTCTTTTCCTTGACAACCACTGGCAGAATCAATGAGTCTCTGCACATGGGGACACTGGTGCCTGCATAGAAGCTTCAATATGCACATGTAGGAACAGTCCTTTTTGAACCCATTGACTTGGACATGTAAGTACAGGGAGCATCATAAAACTAAAAACAAAAACCCTCATGATAGCATGTTACCTTTGCAGTTCACAAGTGTGTTACAAAGGAATGCCAAGGTGTGGGGTCAGTCACGGAGAAAATCATGGACCAGGCATTGCATGTCATCTGGAGGCTGAGAGTTTAGAAGTAGTTACCCAGGAGGGTGTGTGGTGGGCCCTGACCTTATCTAGCAGGGACCACCCAGCAAGCACTTGCCACACCTCTGTGTTGAGAATAATTGAAGGCAGTGATGACACTAGAAGGAACACTGAAGCACTGGCAGCACCTTCCTGTGCATGTTGGCATGCCTGTGCTACTGGGACAAACACTGCCCAGGCTGCATCTCTCAGGCTTGGAGTGGCCCTTTCTGTTCCCGTGCCCACCCTTCCTGACTTAGGATGTACATCACGAGCATTTCCCAGTGCTTGTGACATGATTACATAACTGTGATCCTCTTCCTGAGTGAAACCGACCTCAGGGACAGGTCTGTGGGTAACACAAGTGGTGAGAAGGTGGTTCTAGGAATGGTGAAGCTGAGTGCTCATCTGGGCTTTGACATCTCTTGGCCGTGTAGCAGTGAGTTGCTTCTCCTCTCTGATCCTCTGTCCCCTTCTCTGTGTGATGGGTGCAGGGTGCCCAGTGTCTTTAGAGGGCTGCAGGAATTAAAGAATCTGCAGCCATAGGCCAGGTTGCTGGTGCACATGCCTTTGGACATCAGCAACTAAGCACTTGCTTATTGTGGACAAAGCAGCAGCTTGTCTGAGGATGAATCTCCGCTATGCACTCTGTCCCCAGAGAACTTTTTGAACTCCTGTAGTCTCAGAGGACTCTGTGAAAATGGGGATTTGAAATGGAACCTAATTCCCAAGGTTGGTATGAGAGTCATATGAAAGAAACACTGCAGTGTGCACTCCAGTATTCCTGGAAATGCTTTGGGAACCTGGGCTCTGCAAACTCTTATTGTTAAACCCTTCTTTGATACCCTCCCCAAATGATCTGCCATGAATTCTTGTGTCCCAAGCTCTTCAAAATGTACTACCAAGGGAGCCCTGCAAACTCCAATTATGAAGATATATTTAGACTACTGATGGAGTCAATATTATTCAAACTAATAATGGACTGGACAGAGGAACATGTTCTATTCATAAAGGAGATTGCAGTCTGCTTAGGCACAGGCTTGATAATGACAGAAATGAAATACATGGAAATATTCAGTGGCAGCACACTGAACAAGCTGTCCTTTGGCTATGTATAATGAATTTCTTCAGAGAATATGGTGCCATTTCTCCATTTGCATTTATCCAGCAAATGATATTAACTTATATTATCCCAGAACTTACCAGAAGGCTTAGGGGAAAGTGACCTAAAATCTACTCAACCCATGGGAGATGAATAGACAGACACTCCAGTCTTCTGGAGTTTTCCTTCAGTCCAGATTTCATGTTAATATTGTGTCTAGGACTATCAGATTCTTTATGAAGGGTAGAAATGAGAAACCATTTAAATAATGGCTCTGAAATTTCAAATATATTAATTTCAACTCCATGCTGGAGTCATAACCAAACTGCTCTCCCTAGACATATTATTAAATAAATCCATATGAGTAGATTGGATCAGATAATAGTTCTAGCACTTGTCCCACCCTCATGATTAATCAAAATGTGTTATCATCCTAAATGGCAAACAGATAAACAAAGCCTTCAAATTTGGTTTTAAGCATCTCAAAGCCTGAGGGTATTTGCTATTTTTCTCAGTAATCACATTTTTTCCTGTTGCCCAGTTCCTATTTTCTAAATCAGTTAAAAAAAAAACAACAACAAAAAACAAAAACCATATTGAATATGACTTGGGGGCTTGGAGAAAACTAATTGAAATGACGTTTTATGTGATGACAGCATTTTAAAAAAGCAGTAGTGATAAAAGTCATGGACAAAAGACCTTGTCTCACAACTTCTCCATGCGTCCTGCCTTCTATTTTTAAATTGTTAATCAAAGCTGCCGACTTATTGCTTATGGGGAGATAGAACAAATCTTTATATCCCAAAAGCTTTTTAAATTATTCACTGTGCTTACTACTTTGCTTCTAAAGGGAGATTATCCTTTTTAATTGGAAATCTTCTATTATTTGTGCCTGAAATGTTTGAAAGAACAAGTTGAGGTGCAGCCCCTATTAATAGCCTAGTGCGAGGGAAAACAATAGAGTATGGGGTTTCATGGAAGCTATTCATTGCCAGGCACATTAACCTAGTCTCTGTCATTAATCTCACCCCCAGCTTGAGCCGAGAATGGCCTGAGTCCTCTTCCTATTTTATCAAGTACCCCGTAAGTTCAGCTTCTCTTTCACTTAAGGCAATACCATTGTTTCTTCAGTTATATTGCCCTGAAGATTAGGTTGTTAGGTTTTCAATATGTGCCAAGCTCAGACTCTGTCTACCCTGTGCAATCCTAACATGGTGATCAATTTCTGTTTCCCTTCTGGAAGTCAGACCTGGCAAGGTATCTTCCAACACTAGAGTGGCTAAATGAGGAGTTTTGGTGAACAGAGAGCAAAGGAAGAGCCAGGCTTGTTTTAATAATGTCATAATAGTCCCAAAAAGGCTTCTGACTCAGGCAACCTGATGATAATTTTAGTCTCACCTGTAATCGATTGTAGGTATAGTGACTTAACACACCTAGTAAGGTGCCAAGGATCTAGCAAAGAAGAGATTCAGAAAAGACACTAACATTCACAGGCAGTGAAGAAAGGTTTGTGAGGAGGCCAGGAATGAGTCCAGGGCAACATTAGCTAAGAGAAGAAAGAAGGCTGCTCCACAGGAGTCCTAGACCTGGTTCCCTTTCTGACCAGGCAACATCAGTCCCTTAATCTGTTAAGGTAGAGTAAGACGAGCACTGCCTGCAGGGATTGCTGTGAAAAATAAAGTCAAGCGCTTCTCAGACCACTCAGCTATGTTAGTTGTTATTATTCAACTTCTAAATGCAAATGAAAGGAACCGTCTGTCCCCACTCTTCCTTTTTTCTTTCTTTCTCAAATCTGAAGCAACAGTACTGTACACAAAGCATCTTTCTGGAATGCTCCCCTGAAAACGTATACTTCCCCTGAAAATTAGTACTCAATTTCCACCATGAGGTTGGGAATAAAAGTGATTTCACCTAATATGCCCATGTGAAATAGTCTGGGCTGAATGAGATGCATGTCTGCACCTGAGTTATGTGTGATCTGCCCCCATAGGATCTCTCAAGACTGTCAAAGACACTTCAACTCCTTGCTTTCTCCCAGGCCAGGAGTCCCAGCCTCTGCAGCATGGCAACGCAGCATTGGCTCCACACTGAGGGATTCTCTCCCCTGTGTAGACTCCAGAGCCAGGCACAGGTGGCCCAGCTTTCCTAGGTGCAAAGGTGAGATGTCATGTTCTGTGTCTCTGGGAACAAGCAGAGGTCAGCTGATGAAACAGGTGTCTCTCTCTTCTGTAAGACTGCTTAAATACCTTGCTCATGATATGACTCATATCAGAATTTAGCAGAAGTGATGTGTCCTCAGTGACCCAGCATTTCTCCTTGAATCAGTTAGGAAGAATGACTCCCTTCTGAGTCAGGAAGGGCCAGCCTGCTCGATTCTAAACTTACCATTCCAATGCAGTAACCATGGAGATGTGTTTTGATGTAATCATCTCATCCTTTCTCTGTATGCATTTGCCTCATTTAAAAATAAAACCTTTTCCTGTGTGGTAGTTTAAAAA